GTTTTTTATTGTAGGTTTTCGACAGAATTGTTAAAGATTCGTAAAAAAATAATTATTAAAATAGGAAGAAAATATGTTCAAAAAGAAAGAAAACAATATTCATTTTACAATTCACATTTATTTTTTCGCTGTTGGGATATAAAAACACTGAAGGTGACTATTCCCGGGTTAAGAGTGCAACGTACGCTATTAATTCGTTGAAAACTAGGCTTTTAGATTCAAGTAACATCTTGTTCCAGTATCGTGTTAAAGAGAGAGCACATAAAAACCGGCCACTCGTGCAAACTCGAATTACTACGCATCGCGTGCGTATCGGGATCGCGCCATCGTTGAGCTCGTTACGGGACGAGCAAAATCCTTTTTGCGTCCCGTCGTCCGTTGCGTTTGACCCGTTTCGAGAGATTCCACAATAGGATGAGTGGCGAACACACGGGGTATGCGGGATCGAGATATCGTATGTGTCTACGGTGGCCCCGACGCCACACACAAGCGGCTCTACGGTAAAGCATCGACACGCAACGCTCTGGAATCGGCGAATCCCACTCGATCAGAAGCCGAATGGAAATTAAATGCTCAGTCGACCGTTATGCTGATTGATTTGTATTCTGCGATCTGCTGGCATGGCGAGGAAGTGTGCTAAACTGCGGGATTTATGTTCTCTCCTAATTGCGTCGCTCTTCCCTCTCGTCTGCCCATATCTCGTCTACGCTACTCCTGATCTCCCATCCCATCCTCCACTCGCTGAGCTAACATCCTTACTAGATTAATCCGACATTTGATGTGAAACGACATGTTTTTATGATGTAGAGTATCTTGCCTAACAAAGATGTTCAATTAAAGTAATTAAAGTAATGCACGCGCCTTTGAAACTAACACGTCGAATAAAATTTCTTCGCAATGTCATTTTGTGTTAATTAAAATTTTCGTCGCATTCAGGAATGCAGACGGATTTTTATCAGTTATTACGTAATATAGACTAATTAAAAATAATTTATTACAAGTTAGACTCTTTTTATTTAAAATATAAAAACATACATATTTAAAAAATATGAAAAATTTATAAAACGGAATATTCAATATTTTTTTAAAGAACATACATAAAAATGAGTTTTAGCTTTAATTCTCTTTCCATCTGCATCAAACGCATTGGTTCGTTTTTATCTTATTGTTCTTATTCTTCTTTGCTACCTTAATAGCTATTAATTAGAGAAAAGTATGTATGTATAAGAATATACAATACATAAATGTATGTGAATATCCGTAATGTATTGAGCTGGGATTGTAGGTTCGCAAAGCTCAAATGACTGCGAATCAGTCGTCTCTACGCATCGGAAACCTCTAAAGCGAGTACAGTATCGACATCTCTTGAGTCTACTAAGAAGTATATATTACTTTATCGATTTGTGAATGAAAAATTTTTTCAAGATTTTTTAAATATGCGTACAAATAGCTTTTATTTATTTAATATAGTATTACTGTGTAAATTTGTATTATAAGCACAAATATTAATAGGTATATCTATGTATCTAATTATCTTTATATATTAATTTATTTATATCAATAAATGTATGTTTCACGTATTTCACAATACTATTAATTCTATCAATAATTGCAAAATAGAATTATTATCTATTAATGCAATAATAATTTGTACTAACAGCAAATCCGTTACCGATGGTCAATAGTTAAATATGCTTTTGCAAACTTATATTATACCGTATCAATATTATAATATAATTATCCAATGTTGGAGAAGATTTGTATCAAGATTTGTATCAAGAAAATTGCTTTGCTTCCTGGCTTACTAATTGCTGATAAGAGCAATCCATCAATGACACGATATCAGTATATGATAATTTAACATTCACATTTAGCAGTCCTAGAAGCGTTTCAATAAGTCAAAATCAATATTTTAAACTCTATAGATACACAAGACGTTTATACCAACGCTAGATTATTTATTACATAAAATACTGAATCGTTACCTCTTGAGGGTATTTCCAATTACTTTTATTTTACTATTTGCAAGAATAGTTTGCACAAAAGTTCCTCCTTTCAACCATAGCAGGCAGTGAAAAGAGATTCATCTAAAGTATTCCATGGACAATAAATATTTTAATAAATAAATATTGTTTTCCGATATATTGAAAATATATTGAAGATATGGAATGTATAATTTTCAATTGTATTTATTTCATTATTTTTAACTTTTTTTGTATTTAAAAAATATGTACATTAATCTAGAACTGTATAAATAATTCATACAACTCAAATAAAAAAATATCTTCATTTAAGAAATTATTAAATACTTAATCAGAATCAAATATTAGGAAGGTCGATTTATGAATTCGTTATCTGCTACAAATTCGCTCATATATAATGCGGCATATTTGTATAAAGAGGGTACTGAGTAAATCGCAGAGATTGGCGGGTCTTGCATACCAATGAGACTACTCAGACTTCTCCTTTTACCCTAATCAGGATGCAGCCCTTGACGCGATGCAACCCCTCCATCTCAACTATTTCTGGTGCCATAGGCTTTACTTTGCTTCGAGGGTTGCGGCTCGAAGCGCGCATTGGCTAACTTGGAGGGAGACTGTGATGCAACAGGGGTTGATGAAACGAGGATCTTAGTACATTCAAGACGGTGGTTGGTACGAGGTGTTACATTCCATCCGAGATTTTCAAATTACCGGATTATGCCAAGGAAACTGGCTGGCGCAGCAACTATCTAAGACGCTTAACGTCGTCGACACGGGTCGCATGGTTTTAAGTGACGATCATCCTAACACTTCTTCCTCCCCCTTCACCCCTCGCGGCTCCTCTTGCCAAGTGGACGAATGAAGTTCGAGATTTAGTAGCTTCTTGTGCCGACAGCATCTGACGAATGATGCTGCTAGTATTAATGATCATTTCCTGAATATCTTTGTTGACGTACAGATTAAACGATGACACAAGTTAGAAGAAGAAGACACTGGCACTAATAAGTTAAAATACATATTTGTATTAAGTTTAACGCAATTACAATTATGCTATTAAAGTTACCGAGATTAATAATTTTCAAAATAGAAATGCAAATAAAGGCACTGCCATTATTAACATAAGCTTACGTAAATTTACTTAAAATTTTGTAATAACAGGTTAATTTAAATTTGAGCAATTTGTCTCGCTGTAATAGCTTGATGTAATTACAGTACTTTATAAAATTACTATAAATAAATTTACACATTCTACAATATTTAAATTAATATAAATTGCAATCTAATTAAATAATTAGAAATAAAAATAATTTTTTCCGTATATATGTATTGTATATAAATTTCTTTATAAAAAATAATTAAGATAAATTTTCATTTGTTTTCTGAAGTAAATTATTTTGCAATTAATATTATAAAATTTAGAGTGTGATATTTCTATAAAAAAGTAATTAATTTTTTATAAAAAATATTTCTATAAAAAAGTAATTAATTTTTTATTAAGTAGCACAATATTGTCACAAATCGAAGTATAAAAGTAAGTGAAGGGTATTTTCCACTCTGTATCGATTTCCCATTTGTTCTGGCAAAAACTTTACCTTACTTACTACTAAAAACTTCGGAATAATAATAATTTAAGTGAAACAAACAATCGTGCAACAATTGTGAAATAATATGTTCGATAAAATAATTAGTAATTCAACATTCCCTAGGTATTTTCAAATTATTCTGAATTATTTAGATACATACGTATTTGACGTAGATAACATGTTGTAGAGCTAAGGTAACAAGTAAAACACGATTAAAACTCGGTTTTCTTTCTTGTTACGATTTCAAAAGCGAACATTCATCTCGCTGCATTATAAACTGAAATGTGGCAATGGCACATCTCGGCGTTTTTATTACATCCAATACTGTTCAATACGATCGAGAAATAATTATTACTGGTTCTCACTTACAGCAAGTCGTTAATATAACATTGCCTGGCGATAACGATTTCGAACTAATTGCTTCTCCCATATTACATTTTATGTCGTTATGTTAAATATTAGTACGGATCAAAACACAGAAATATATGCACAAAGTTAAAACCAATAAAACGCAAATGCGTTTTCCCATCATATTCTCGATATTAAATACAGCTGAATTTAATCCTTTGCAGATCCTGTATCAAAGTGAATTCAATATGATGGTTTACTGTAGTCTTTACCACGCCTTTTTTTTTTCAAAGGTGCTCCATTCGTTGAAATTAATTTGGAACGCCGAGTTAGATTTTGGTTTTTATATCTGTATTTTATAAATTTAATTCTATCGATAAAATTTAGCGGAGAGAAAGAGTAGGGAGAGAGAGAGGGGGGGGGGGGGGGGGGGGGAAAGAATTTAATTTCAGCTTTAAATAAACTTTTACAGCGTAGCGCAAGTAGAATCGTAATGTTTTTGAAAGGGCAACGTACTAGAGCCCGTTATGTCAGACAATTCTATCAGCTATCGGCAACTCGATTCCACGGTTTTTATACTCGCGATCGTGGAAAGCGTGAGATCACTCATGCGATACGCACGGCACAGATAATATCGCGCCGATCGATAGTTCGACTTAACGACGAAGTGCAGCAATCGATCAGTTGCCATTGTTGACGAGTCCGATCGACGAAACCGGCATGACTTCCTTGATGACGAAAAGATGCTTTTACGTAAGACGACGGTGAATGACGCAATCACCGGTTCTTTCTAATTTCTGCGATCGATCAATCGTTAACCTGTCTAAAATCTTGGACAGGCATTCGCACAATACAGTTCTTTTCTGTAGAGACAATTGTCACGGAAGATGTTGCGAAATTAGCGAGGCGCAAGCCAAATTGCTCGTTTAAACGATTGGCCACAGCGACGACTTGCAAGATCAATACGAATACGTGCAATGCTTACTGTTTCTGTCAGAAGGGTTTTATCTAACAATGAGAAGGTGGGAGTGATATAAAAGATTCAGCGAGATGGATTGAACGAGCAAGGAATCATTGAAACCGACGAGATTAAAGTAATCTACCGCGAGATGTATTGGAAACTGTTTGTGTCACTGCTCCCGCACCTGCTTATTTGTAATTGCTTGGCCAGATCTGTTATTTATGAAAACGTCGAGAACGATGTTGTCGCTGTTGGTTCACTCATTCGCGAGGTACGTCAACCGGCGCCATTAAGTCTCATTGCGGGAGTGAGGGACTTAATAAGCGCTGGTAACGCACCGAAGTCACAAGATACTAAAAAACACATGAAAAACGCATCTGGTATGTGCTTCATAATTAATAAAAATTTCTAATAGAACATAAAATACAAAAAAGTCAAATATGCAAACTCAGAAATATAATTTATTATTTAAATAATTATTAAAAAAATTATTAATAATAAATTAAAACGAGTATAATTTATATTTTTTTCTTTCTCCTCTCTCCGAGATATGTCAAATTAATGTTTATCGCCGAGTGCAGAGAATTTCGAGAACGCGTTAGATGTCTTGTTGAGCGTAACAAGGGCGGACAACAATGTGGTTTTAGGCAAATCGGACGAGGGCGGTTACTACAGAACCTACGGGAGCGATGCGGAGGGTGAGAAGGGTTACTTGAAGGAAACCTTCGGTAAAGGTGATCATGGCTACAAGACTCTCGACACCTTCCACAAACAGGATGGCGATAAATACGAGTTCGAGACGCAAACCACTTATGGCAAAGGCCATGCTGATGATAGTCACAAAAAACATCATGACGAGAAAAAGAATGACCACGAGGGCGCAGGTAATGAATCGTCAAATTGTAATTTACTAACACAATAATCTGAAAAAAAGAAAAATCTGATCATAGATGTAATAGATATAGATATAGATACATTCCCCAAGCATCATATAGAAAGAATTGATTATATCAGCATTTCTCTTCAACTTAAAGTTTTAGAGATAAAGAGAGATATGAATCAGACTACTTTTTTCCCTTTCTAAATCAGAAAGACAACTTCATATAGGAATACACAATTTATATAATACTTCTTTAAATTTAAGTGACGAAAGGTTCTGACTTATTTCTATTTGCTTTACTTACCTTGCAAAGATTATACATATGTTACTAAATACTACTGTATATTATTGTTGTCAATTTAACAGTAAAATTAAATTATATGTATATATATATATATATTTGATAAAATTTAACCAAATTGTAGAAATATGAATTTATAAGGCATCAAAGCGCTTTAAAATAAATTGCGAATAAAGCGAAACTAGCGTTTAATGCGATATGAAAATTATAGGTACCATGATCGATGCGGAATACGCCGCTGATGGGGGTGATCACAATGAAGGAAGCGAATACTCGCACTATACCGGAGGCGACGATGGAGATCATTATAGTAGCCATTACACAGAGAAAGAACCGGAATCTTACAGCCACAACGAAAATTATTCCTCTGGAGATGGTGACGAGGAATCTTACGAAAAGCATGGCTCTTACAGCTCTGATGGAGAAGAGGAAGAAGAAGGGGATCATTATTAATTTATCAGTGTATATCATTTTAATGTCAAATGTTCAGTCCTAATTGGAGCTTCTTCTTTTTAATTTCGACCGCAACCTGTTATTATAAATATTAATGTTGTCCGCAACTCGTAATAACCGCAACCTGTAACAACCACAACCTGTTATCATAAATATAAAATACGCGCGTCATCATTGAAATTATCAAAAACACAATAATACATATTTTTTTTTCGTATATGGGTAAATACAATTTTAATAAAAATGATGTACTCGCCCGCACGCAAACGCACATACACATTTTCGTTACAAGCGATTAATACTTACTTTGGAACTAAATTTGTAATATAGATCGATCGTAATAGTAATTTATGTTTAATAACCAATAAAATATTATCGTCAATATATGTGTTAATTTCACTTGATTATTAACTTTGAACTTTTTGTGCCATCTACATAATTGTAATAAGCACTATTTATTCATAATTGATGCAAATATTTGTGCACAAATGATTTTTCGACGCCTTTAATTAAAGGATGCGAAAATCTTTTGCATCGACGCGTCGCGTTAAAATAATGTGGAATAAAGCACCCTGCCGGCCAAATTGAATGCTATATTAATATTATAACAGCTTTTCCATTATGAAATTTGCCTTTACGCTTTCGCGCTTGGATCGATCGCGAAAGTACGAGCGTACGCTTGAAATTACCGCCCGGCGAAACTTGTTACATTAGCAATGTCCGTGCATGATCGATTATCAACAGCTAATCCATTCTGGGGTACATTTCGCGTTGCATGCAAATAGTTCGTTCTCACGGTATGGATGGATACGTATCTGTTCGTCGAAACATTAATCCATTAAGTGGTTCGTTTCTTCATCAAAACTCAATGTGTATCCCAATATGTATGTGCAATTAAAGATGTGTAGGAATAAGTATGCACGTTTTGGGCAAAATAAATGTTCACTGGTGTAATTAAACTTTAAAGAATGGGAATATAATGGAAGAGGAGGAAAAGAATTTTTCTTTCTGGCAAAGAAGAAATAAAGTTACGACTTAATATCACAGTAGCCGACACGCCATTTATTCTTCGAGTTAACGCGATTTGGCTTTTATACATGTCATACGACATTCACTTAGGATAAAGTATTTAATTCGAATAAATTACGCTGCATTCTAACGTTTATTACGTGCACTAGCTACACCGACTAATCAAATTATCGTTTAATCTCTCCGCGTGAATGTACGAATGTAGTTTGGTTTGTTGCGGAGAGCAGTTTCTAATTTCTAATTTAACACCACCCGAGGGTCAGAAGCAATAACTTGTTTCTCTGTCTTTGTCAAGCTTCGAATCAGTACGCTTTTGATTGTATAATTTGCGCAAAAAGCAAATAGGTTTTTGAATCTATTTCACCACTGATTACAGATGCAGTTTAATTACGCGTTTAATAGCGGAGGCTTGAAACTGTACTAGATTGCAGATATTGCTATTTGGTTGGTAGACAATAGACACGGTTAATCGCCAACGAAATGCATTTTTAATTGATAGAAGGCAAATACGATAAAAACGTGAGTGTTTGTTAAAAAGTACTTTCCGTCACGCAAGAATGTGTCTCGTATTTTAAATCTGTCTATTGGTGTAGGTAACATTTACGAGCGGCTTGCATTTTGCAATTATTTATAACGAGGAAACTTTCCAGATGGTTGCCCATCTCCGAGCGGAAAATCAGTTTGTTAATTGTGCGAGATAATTATCGTTAAACGCTGCACGTGACAAAGAAATATTTTGTTGTCATCGCTTCACTCAACCATTTTCCGGAGCCTATGCGCAATCTAATATATCAAATACGATTTAATCCTACTGTCAACGAATAATTTTGCACTTTTCACCAGATCGTTAAAAATGTAAAAGTGAAAACAATATGATGTTTGCGCGAAATTGTTCTTTGTTTTTCGAGAGTGGGATTTTTAAGTCATAACAAAATTCGCTCAAAAATATAAAAATTTTCATTGTTTAAAATTCAATATCTAGATATCTATGTATGCATTGAAAAGGACTTAAAAAAAATTTACTGATTGTATAGTTTCATCTTTATATCGCGTTGTGCGTATATTTAATTAAAAATGAAAGAGAAAATATATACACATATATATATATATATATATATATATATATATTTATTCTATCATTATCGAGTTAAAAAGACATGCCATTATTGAACGAATAATCGGCTTAATTCATATTCAAAACGGTAAATGCAAACAATTAATACATTATTTGATGTTCTGATCAATAGATATTAAGGTATACGCATCGCTTTGCTGGTTCATTTTATTTAAATATTTCGTTGCAATATGTTCCGATTATCGCATGCAAAAGAGAATATCACAATGGTGGATCAGCTGAAAATATCAACTGTTTGCTTGCATAAATGAGTTTAAAAGGCGAGCAAAGCGAGAGGGAACTCAAATTAGAGACTATCACTGTCAGCTCTCTCGCGGCGATCGTCGGAAAAGCTTGTAGCTCGAATAGGGCTCTTGACCGTAGAATGGTAGCTATGTCGGGATGGTCTCTCCGGGTTTAAATTAGAAAACAATTTCATTAGCAGCCCAGAAGCCAGCGCGAGGTCCTTTTGTTCGCGTCGGTGTATAACCCGACGGTTTTATTCAACATGCGAGAATGCACCGAGAGTGGTGAACGCGGGGAACGGAGAAGGAAGAAAGGAAGAAGGAAAGATGGTGCGAGGGTAAGACTTGAATGTGAGAGACAGTTCAGTCGTTGGATTGGGAGAGCCCGGACTAACGGTTCCATCAACTGATTGCACACCTCACAACTTAGCGACGTGGAGTAGACGATGTCTGCGGTATTCGCTATTTCTTTCATTATGAACAAAATCAACAGAAAAAAAAGAACTTATCCAACTTATGTACTTTAATGGCATTATCTCGAACAAGAGTTTTCCAAAGTTCTCTACTTTTTGTGATTTTTTTTCCGTCTTTGTTATATTTCTAAAATAAAAAAGATCTGCAAATAATAATTTTCTTTTATAATACTAATATTAGTATGAATAAGATTGTAATCAAAATGCACCGCCCGCGCGTCAGATATTTAATGATATGGTTGAGTTTTTAATTATGAAAATTATACCTGGAAAGTTTTCAAGTCTTGACTGTTAACATTCCTCGGGAACAGCGCAACCGAGCGAGAATAAAATGCTTGATGAATCAACGAGCGATTATGCCGCGATTCGTGAACGTTTCTCTGTACGTAAAGATTTCAGTGATATTTTGAAGATTTGAAATGAAGTCGTGCACCGAGCTCATTGACCAAACAAAGAGGCGAATGATTTGGATGGTCCGACGCCGTCTCGGATCTGCTTACAAAGCAATCTTTCCATTTCAGTCGAGATCTACGGCGAATGCTACCTAATCTAATCTCCGTTACGACGTTGAGTCGAAATCGAACTTGGCAGAATCCCCAGTCTTCTCTCTGTCTGAGGGATCCTCGAAACTGGGCAGTAACCAATCTTTATCTTGATTATGCAGCGCCAACACCGGCGAAAGCCAATCTCCAATCGAAAGTGGTTGCCAAGTAAGATCGTAAAGAATCAGAATCTATCGAGTAGTATTTCAGGCTGCAAAACGGGTCGATACTTTGGATTTGCAATGGAAATCAACACCGATACTATCGCAATTTTCCACTTCTTATTACCATAGTCGCTGCTATTTGTTTATTTCGTTCCGACGGAATTCATCAAATTAAAGATTTTTAATAATACCAAGTTATCAGTTACAAATTTTGAGATTTATCTTTTATTTAATAACATTAACGGACGTTCTGATTTTATTCAATAACTCCAAATATCGAGTTTTGTCTTTTCATTGACACTAGAATCGGTGGATGATTAAGACCGCGGATGCCATTAGTTTTCCTTAGTTTTCGATGGTTTTCGAGATCATCTAATAAAACTGTCAGGGTTGCCGGAACAAATGGGTCAACAGTTAGCAAAACGATTCGCGCAACGAACGCCACGCGTGATATACGCGTCGCCGACGTCTGTAAAACTTAATAAATTGTTTTTGGTTTATGACGTTATAAATGGCGCTGTGTTTACGAGAGGCGAATTTATGTCACAGGTGATAGAATTAATGGTAAAATTAGACAGCTTATCGATGAGCTAGCGAACGCGACGACGCGCACATGCTGTGATAACAAAACGCTTCTAGGGCATTCAGCGCGACATATGCATATCCTGTATTTGTACGTCATGACGTTAATTAAAATGATTGCGCGAGCATCTGGTAGGGTACTTAACTTCAAATATCGATTGAGGTCACCATCGCTACATGAGGTGTTGATCGGGATGCATGCATGTGTCGGACAACGGGATGCCACTTTGATTTAAAATATATATTTGGCCATTCGCGATTGGGTTTTTACATTTCATGTATTAATTAATCGCTGTTATGTCAAAAAAATTGTAACATTTTATCATTTAGACATACTTTAACGTAAATATTAGAATAGAATAGATATAAATTGAATTTATCTTTTTACTTAGTTAAAAAAAAGAAATTTCTTATTTTCACAAAGTTTGTTAAATAATATTTTAACATCAACGATTATTACTTAAATGAGACGTTGAAATATTTATTTAACAAACATTGTGAAAATAAGAAATTTCTTTTTTTTTTGTTAAGCAAGTAAAAATGTAAATTCAAATTTATATCTATTCTATTCTAATATGTACGTTAAAGTACGTCAAACGCAAGTGTTGATTGCAAGTGGATAAAGGAATCGATCGATACGAAGACGATAATGCGATTTGTTGCGGTCTAGAAATTTCCGTGGTTATTGTTCCTGCGGCAGACCGATGCTCGCGGAAAAAGTGGTAATGGAAAGTTCTTCCTGACGCCGGATACAACTTTTTGCGGAAACAATGCGTTCACGCAGTGTATCGAGATACGATTAATCAAATAAAAATTTACATTGTTGTCCGGAAACTCATAATTTTGTAAATATTACTCAGAGAAACGTTAACGAGTCAACTTGTTATGTCACTTCGCAAGCAAGAAATGAGATCCAACTCGACGAATAATATTTTAGCAATTCCGATTGAACGCTGCAAGATAGCACGACGGAATATTCTAGTAGAATAAACGCAATGTGCGGCGATGCGAGAAAGTGTGAAACTGTGTGCCTCCCCACCGTATCAACGGAGATTGGAACGAAATTTAGGAATACTTGCGGTCGTGCGGATGAAAGTGGACTCGGCGGAAACATACGGCCGCGCCGTGACGGAAGTAGCTGGACCATCGATATTTAAGTGTCAACCGTAGTAACATCGGCCATCAGTTCGATCGAAACCGAGTGCGATCGAGATGGTGCG